GAGCAGGTAAGGCACCGCGGGGGTGACAGGCGTGCATGGTGAGGTTCGAACCCAGGTGCGGAGGAAGGGGACAAGCCCCTCCCACCGCTAGGCTAGAACCTCACTTGCCTTTCTTTTTTTTTTTGTTTATATGGGACATCAATGTTGTGGTTAATTTTAATATAATAAATATAAAAAATGGAAATAAAATTGGGATGAACATGACACTTGTTAATGTTGTGATGATATGTGATTTGGGGTAACCAGATTGAGTTTGAGAAATAATTTTCTTGAAATATATAGGTTTAGTTGATAATTTGGGATATTATAATTAAAGAGAAGATTTTGTTGAAATTTTGATAAAAATAAAAAAAATAATAAAAAATCTAGATTATTAGAAAATAACTAATAAAAATAATCTAGATTACAGCTTGGACATCTTGCAACCAATCATTTTCATCTAAATGACAAATGATACGGTTCCATTAGATGATGAAGGCTTTGATAGAAGCGTTCGTGGAGCATTCTGCACATACTTATAATTTCCTCTATTCTGGTTGGATTATAGGATTATATTCATTGCGCAAGACGATCCGGGCTTGAAATCTCACCTGTAAATAAATTCTATATATGGTCTTTTACTTGTACAGTGAAACATATGAGAGGTTAGACATAATGTTTGGTTGGTAGGAGCCATTAGAAGAGGTGTTTTAGAAATCATATGGTGTCCTTGCCAACGTACGAGTTTCTAATTAAATCATGATAAAAAGTGATGATTTCAGAGACAATGATATATTCGGTCCATTCTTGTTAACTTAGGTTATCTAATTAAAATCATAACTTATGTTATTAGCTTTAATGTTTTTAATAACATTTTGTTTATTTTAATTATAAAAACAAAAGGATTAATATGACTAAAAAACATGTTTTTGACCTAGACCCTCATACGTAAGCATTCTTTTAAAGCCCTGATATACCGAGTCACTGAAGTATTTATCCGTACGCATATCATTCATCATTTATTAAAAAAAAACCAAGAAATAGGCAGTGCATAATCTAGCTACCACTTAATTCAATGATATAGATATTTACTCTTGTAAATATGTTAGCCATTAAAGTAAAATAAACATTTTTTATATTCAAACAAATAAATTTGATATTTTTTAAAGCCAACAAGAATTGAGGAGATTATCAATAAATTAATAAGACAAAGTTTTCTATTCAGTTTTTTATCATTAAGCCAATTTGAAATTAAAAAGCAAATTTAATTCACTAGACAATAGCTTTAGGAGCAAAGTTTGACAAATTTATACTAAGAAATTCTTTATAAGATTAACAATTTAAATTATTTTATTCTTTTGTGATAAATTAAAATGATGATAAATTAAAATGAGAGTTGTAGGAATCAAATTAACTCTTTTGCTTTTAATTTGAGTCCCTAACTACAATTATGAATCGAAAAAAACTAGAGCACATATATGCTATCTTAAAACAATTCAATTATTATAAACAAAAATCAATAGTGTAGTTTTGAAATTTAAAAAAAAATAAGTACTTGAATTTAAAATAATTGCAGTGATAATATTACTTCTTACAACTTGATGATGAAAATAAAGTATGTTCCCTTTAAACCAAAATTAAAAATTTATTGTTCATGATCTTTGAAAGTTCTAGTTGTAAAGATGAACTCTCTAAAAATTTAAGTTGTAAAGAATATTTTTTTTTCCTCTTGTTTGGTCACGTTGATCTCCTCTTTTAATCCTACGAGGCAACTTTCATGATAATATATCACGAATAAAAACTAGAGATTACATGTTGTAGAGAATATTTATTTGATTTGATCATATTTTCTTTAAACAGTAAGACTTTTATCTTGTTAGTTTATTATCAGATCAAGAGACAAAACCGATTTTTATTTTGAAAATAATTTTATCTTACTTGAAGCACTTTATAAAATTTGCAGTTTTAGATATGTAGATGAATTTGAATTTTTAAATTATCTAATTGTGATATTTCAAACTTAAAATATGCTCAAATGAATATCTAGTATGACAGCAAATAATCCGACTTTGAGTAGGATTCTGACTCGATTTTGCATGTCTGAGTAAATTTTTAAATGAGAATAGATTTCTCTTCATCGTACTTTTTTAGAAATCTGGATATGTATACCTTAATTTTGATCAAACCCATGTTTGTATTTTATCATTTTAATTTGATGAAAAACAAAACCAAGATTCACAATATAAAATATATAATTTTTTATTTTTTAATAATTAATTCATTAAATTTTTTAAGCATGTTAAACTGATAAAATTATTTTTAGTGAGTTCAAATAAACTTAAAAATACATTAAAAAAATATAATGTAAAAGGAATAAAAACATATGTTTACAATTAAAAAAAATTGAAAATTAAAAACAAGGAAAAAGAGGCTCACCGTTTATATGGATAATGGCCGACCTTAAGTTTGCATCCATGTTTTAATTTTAAACTTAATTCTATATAATTAGATTGTAAAAAATACAATTAAAAAAAATTAAGAATAAAGGATAGGAGGTGACGCACTATAAGGTTTTTCAGTTTTTGTTAACGTTTTGGCAGAGGTAAATTCTAAGGGGTTTTTTTTTTGTTTTTTGTTTTTTTTTCACGTGATGAATCTTACAATAATAATAATAATAATTTTATCTCCTACTTTTAAAGTATGCATGGGCCATGATGATCTAAATAGTGTTTGATAACTATAATATATTGAAATAATAAATATGAAAAACCAAATTACAATGAATAGAAAATACCCAAATTATGCGAGAAATGGCCCTTTTGACAGCCACTTATTTACAGGTGAGATATGGTGTGAATTTTATGTGCATAGATCTTATCAATGATGCAAACTAATGACATTTTGGAAAAACATTGTTCTGATGTATCGTTTGGTTATTTTTATTTTTTATTTTCTAATTTTAAAAAAAGATTCAATCTTTGTTAAAACTCAATCTAGTCTGGATAGTATATTTTTTATCATTAAATATAAAAAAATATATTATTAATAGTGGCTTTTCAAAAAGCCAATACCATATTCATTGATTTAAAAAAGAAGTTATTTTGAAGAAAAGATCAGTTTTAATTGTCGTGTAAATGAATTTGAAAATATCCTTTTTCATAAATAAAAAATTATAATAATTTATTTAAAGGTTAGTGTATCGAACTCTCAATAGATTTTCGTAAGCTTTTCGTTTATTAATTGTAGACAAGTAAAAATAAAGCTATCCTTAAAATTAATTTCCACTGTTAATATATTTAGGAATCAGGCAAGGGTAGAAGTGGGATTCAAAAGGTAAAAAACGACAAGTCGTTTTTTCTGAAATCAGCTTAAGCTCTTTCAGTAGTCTTGACACCGGAAACATTTGGGGTTCTTCTCGAGATCACTGAATTAAAGGCTAGTCGTTTTCTCGAAATCCCTTTTGTTGTTTATCTTGAAATGTTATTTTTATCGATTAAAGTTTTGATTTTTTGATGTTTTGGAGCTTTAGATTTGATTATATCTGCATAAACTGAGCTTGTCTTTTGTTTTCAACGTGTTATAACAGTGAAGGAAGAAAATATAATGAAAAACAAGAGGGAAGATGATGATATGGGGAGTGAAGGAAGTGGTAGTGTTTTAAAGAGGCAGAGAATGGATGAGCAGTCTTCAGCTTCTGGTATTGGAAACCCCCTTGTCCCTTACAATGATGTGGATGATGAAGACGAGGACTTCGAAAGGGGGAAAACAAATAATGGTGGTGGGGTGGATGGGAGTAATACTCAAGTTGTTGCGGCGGAGAATGGTGAGGATGAGGAGGAGGAAGAGGATGTGTATGGACAAGGGGATAGTTTGGAAAGGAGGAAGAGTCAATTTGAGCCTCGTGAAGATTGCCCGTATTTGGATACTGTTAATCGACAGGTAAATATTGCATCTTTTGTGAATAATTTATGTGGTTTTCGGGTTTATATGTAGTTAATTGTGTTATCTTGGAGATAACATGGATTTTTGTTTACATGAGGTTACATGTATGTTGTTGTGCATAAATATGTGTTTTCTTGGATGATATATGTGGTTTTTTTGTGGTATTGTTAGTTTATGTGTGTGTTTATGTATTTAAACGTGTGTAAGGATGCATTTTGTTGGATAATTTGTGTAGTTATTTGTATGTTTGTAGGCAAAAGTGTGTTATCTGATTCATTTTTCTGGTTGATATACGTGGCTTTTTGTTTGTGTAATTGTGTGTCCGTCTGTGTACATGGATATGCTTAGGATGCATTTTTTGGGTTGATATATTTGGGATCTTGTTTGTGTAGTTCTGTGTGTCGTTGTCTACATAAACATAGTAAAAAGGTGCTCCCCCCCCCCATAAAACATACATGGCTTCTTTTTGTGTAGTCATGTTCATGTTTGTTTAAATAAATGGTTTATCTATGGTTTATGTGTTTGCATGCTTAAAATATGGTTTTGATGGCCTTTTTTTTTGGGTTTTGCAGGTGTTGGATTTTGATTTTGAGAAATTTTGCTCTGTTTCTCTGTCGAATTTGAATGTGTATGCATGTTTAGTTTGTGGGAAGTATTACCAAGGAAGAGGGAAGAAATCCCATGCTTATACTCATAGTCTTGAAGCAGGACACCATGTGTACATCAATCTTAGGACAGAGAAGGTTTATTGTCTTCCTGATGGATATGAGATTATTGACCCATCACTTGATGACATACGACATGTTCTCAATCCAAGGTATCTCTTTCATGCGTTCAGTGTGTGTGTGGTGCATTGTACTTTTGCTGTGGCCTCAGGGTTTATGTTATCATTTGATGTTGGAGCTTTTTTGGGAAAATAGATATTTCCTTGGCTAATTTTATTTTTTCCTAGTTTATATTTGAAGGGAATAGCCTTTTGGCAGACATGGATGAATAAAAGTTGAATGTTTTGAGTCTCCTCATAGTTATTGTGTTCTTGATCATTGAGGGTTTTGACTTGTTACAAACCCCATTATCCCTGTCTCCCGTCTGTCTCCAGTGTTATTGATTTCATTTCCTTTCAATTCTCTTGCATAAATTTACTAACTTTCAGGAACTTTGCATCATCCATGCAGATTTACCAGGGATCAAGTTGGACAGATTGACAAAAACAGGCAATGGTCCAGGGCACTTGATGGGTCTGATTACCTTCCTGGAATGGTAACCATCTCCCCTCCACTGTGATTGCCAATTCAGCATTCTGATTGCTGAGTTGCAGCTCAGGATGCATCTTAGTTTTGCAATAAGATGCAGATTTTGGACCTTTTACATTGTTAACTATGTTGCTTGATTTTAACCTTCAGGTGGGTCTGAATAACATCAAGGAAACTGATTTTGTGAATGTAACAATTCAGTCTCTAATGAGAGTTACACCCTTAAGGAATTTCTTCCTTATCCCTGAAAACTATCAGCATTGTAAGTCTCCTCTTGTTCAACGCTTTGGAGAGCTCATGCGCAAAATATGGCATTCTCGGAACTTTAAAGGACAGGTTTGATCCTTGGTTATTTCTATGAAGTTATGGTTTTCCAATTTTCGACTTGTGTTTCCTCATTTAATTTTCTTATCCATTTTCTTGGGAATTTTCAGGTGAGTCCACATGAATTTCTCCAGGCAGTTATGAAAGTTAGTAAGAAACGATTTCGAATAGGACAACAGTCTGATCCTGTGGAGTTCATGGCATGGCTTCTTAATACCCTGCATGCAAATCTTAGAACTTCAAAGAAAAATAACAGTATCATTTATGAGTGCTTTCAGGTGCTAGCTACTGTTCCAATACTTTCTAATTTATTATACAGTTTGCTTGTTAATATTATTTATCTCAGTGGTGCTTATCTAAACTTGACTTGGTAGGGTGAGTTGGAGGTTATTAAAGAGAGTCCTAACAAAGCTATCACTGAGAAGAAACAAAACGCTGATGATCAAAATTCAGATCAAAGAATTACTGGTGGTGGAACTAAACATGATATTTTCGCGGAAACTTCTAGAATGCAATTCTTAATGCTTGGACTGGATTTGCCACCACCTCCTCTGTTTAAAGATGTAATGGAGAAGAATATAATACCTCAGGTAAGTATGCATTATGTGTTAGCTAACCTGAAAATATTAATAACTTGATCTATATCTTTTTAAAGAGGTGATGCCAAAACACTCTCTAGCTGAGCTAGTGAGCTAGTGAGCTAGTTGGCATTATCCTGCAATATCTTTGGTGTTATTGAGATTCTGCCTTAAGCACTGCATCATGTTTAATGCTTTCCCAATGAAATGATTCAAAAAAACAGATGCTTGGTCAGATCCATAGAAGTGAATTTAGACACTGCTGCTTTGGGTAGAGAACATTTGGTTGATTCTTTTGCCAGATCTATAAATAAGTTAAAGTCCTAGCTCATGCCTCTATTATCCCTGGCAATCAAGGGTTTGCTATTGACCATGGAAGATAGAACATAATTCAGTTTTCTATTCTGCAGTTTCTTTTGTTTTATTCATCTACTGAGAGGAAGTGCTAATTTCTATTTTCGCTTCAACTCCTAGTTTAGTGCTTTTGTTGGTTGCCATGCAAGTCTATAATTTGCTCAAATGGTTAAATTAAAACCTTATTGAATTGGGCTTTAGATGAAAGCTGAATTAACTGCCGTATTCAAGTTTGGATTTACAGTTTGTATTTCTGTGCATGTGATGATCACATGTGACCCAGAAATGTGGGCTGTGTGTCTTTGGGCTTATTTATACTAGACCTTTTTTTTTTCCTTTGTGTAAATTCCACTTGTGATTTTCCTCTTCTTGGTGAAGACATTTTTTACTTGTGCTATTGTTTCAGGTTCCTCTGTTCAATATACTGAAGAAATTTGATGGTGATACTGTGACTGAAGTTGTTCGTCCTCATGTTGCTCGGATGAAATATCGTGTCACCAGATTGCCACGATATTTAATACTGCATATGCAGCGATTTAAAAAGAACAACTTTTTCATCGAGAAGAATCCCACCTTAGGTAATCCTGGACACTAACAATGTATTTAACCTAGAACTTCAAATGGTTTTGCACTATCCTTTGCTAACTGTTGCTATCATTACAGTCAACTTTCCTGTGAAGAACTTGGAATTGAAAGATTTTATTCCTTTGCCAATGCCTAAAGAAAATGAGAGATTGCGCTCGAAGTATGATTTGATTGCGAACATTGTCCATGATGGAAAGCCTAATGAGGGGTTCTACAGAGTTTTTGTGCAACGGAAGTCAGAAGAGCTTTGGTAATTCTATTTCTAATCCACTGGTATGGTTGTGAATGAAAGTAGTAATTACATAACATATCTGACAATCAATGTTTTGCAGGTATGAGATGCAGGATCTGCATGTTTCTGAAACCCTTCCTCAGATGGTTGCGCTCTCTGAGGCATATGTGCAGATATATGAGCAGCAGCAGTAGCATTGGAGGATAGAAGTGTCCTGTTGTTGACCCATCTTCGTACTGCTTTTAGGTACAAGTAACAAGAGTTTTCCCTTCTGTAAATGGTTGTCGGAAGATCAGATGAGATGGCATTGTTGTTTGATTGGCACCTGTCTGATTTACTAAAGCTTAGCAAAATACGAGGTTCATAGAAAACAAGGCTGTAGTTTTGCTGTTTCATATCGTTGAAAGAATGAACAGTTTTGTTACTAAAAACTATCCTTCTATTGCAGCAGGTAACTTAAATACTCAATACTTTCCTCGAGTTGTAGATTGCTTACAAATGCTGAAGTAAAACACTCGGTTATGATTTACTTGGGTGATTCAGATAGTGACTTTGGTTTGGTTGTCCTGCGTTGTGTACGTCTTTGCTCTGTAGGGCTCAAAACTGATTCCGTGGATATGCAGGCGCTCTGGCTTGTTGATTGTTGCCCAGTTCGTCTGGTAGTAATGTCATGAAAAGCAATATTCTGAGGCTTCTCTTGCTCTCAACTTCTCTCTGGAGGTATAGAATTGGTATTGGAGTCTTATGAGAGTTTTACTATAAAACCAATCGGTCTCTATGGTTATCTACTTGGTGATATTTTCCAGCATCTTACACCTTAAAGAGATCAATTTTTACACTATTAATCCTTTTTTCCGATCAAAAGAATGTTTATTTTATGCATAATATTTGTATAAAATACAAAATATTATACAAACCAATCGGCGAACTTGACTTACTCATCAAAAAGTATTTTTAGGGTAAACAATGTCAGCCAATAATCAACATATAATATCATAAATCTCTCAACTATTATTACTCTAAGCACTAATATTATCATTATCAAAGTTATTGTTGTATTTATTCAATCAATATAATATTTATATCATTAAAATTTATTGTTTATATTTTTAAAGGAACATGAGAGGATACAAGAAAAAGAAATGTTCGGTTGAAAGGAAAAGAAAAATCATTTCAAAGTTTCAGGATGAATTTCTGCAAGCTCAAGGAAGCGTGTCTTCTTTGTTTTTCACCATCGTCGTCTTTTTCATCCCGAAATAACCAAGACATTTTATTTTTATATCAATTTATCCACTAGCTGAATCAATAAATAATTTATTAGGATTCTCGAATTTATTTATCCACTACCAATAAACCGCTACCATACTACTGTGTTTTTCTTTGAATTATTGGCCCTCTTTTAGTCCTCTCTCCAAAGATAAAGGGGGACCAAACAATTACCTCCTCCACATTGATGGGCAAGATTTTATTTCTGAAATATCATGTAGCATTCCCACTTCCGACCACACCTTAGTCACCAGGTACCACAAATGTAACGATCAACTAATAAATCCTTATCATACCTCTCTTGGCATCTTAGCTTCAGATTTTGAACACATTTTTTTGTTTCTAAATTGGATTCGTTTTTTTTATATACTTTACAAGTACTGTAATATATATTTCATAATTTCACCTGCTTAGATATCTTCCTCGAATTCGTTTCCACCGTCATATGACCCTCATCTGATGGTGGGAAAAATTCGAAGCAGCAATTCGAGATAAGGTTTTCCGTAGTTTTCTTTTTCTAAGATAAAATAATATATTCTCAGTATGTACTACGAGCACTGTGGCACGTGATGGTTTGTGGCTTTCATATTGAGCCATTATAAGGCAAGCGTGGATCACCCCAGCAAATCACTAAGTTGGCATCACAGAATCACCACAAAACCTCCAAAATGAAGAAAGCACAGCTAGTGTTCATCCCTTCACCTGGAGTTGGCCACCTTGTATCAGCTGCTCAGTTTGCAAAGCTGGTTCTTGATAGAAATGACAGTTTCTTGATAACGATGCTTGTCATCAACAATCCATATGCTGAGAGCATAAGCAAGTACATCGAATCACTTGCCTCAGCTCATACACAAATCAAGTTCATTACACTTCCTGAGACTATAGCTCCACCTTCTGCAGAAGCTTTAGCTGTGAGCGCTGAACATGCTTTTAGTTGTTACATCAATGATCACAAAACCATTGTAAGAGATGCTATCGTTAACCAAGTGATGGCCAATAACCCTGCTCCCATTGCTAGTGTTGTTTTTGATTTGTTTTGCACTGCCTTTATTGATGTTGCAAGAGAACTTGGGGTCCCTTCCCATGTTTTTTTCACTTCTGGTGCTGCCTTTCTTGGCTTGATGCTTTACCTTTCAGATCGGGAAGAGTATGGCCTGCCTAAGTTTAGACCTACTGACCCTGACTATATCATCCCTTTCTATGCAAATCCTGTGCCTTATCGTGTTTTGCCGTTACTGCACAACGATGAGGGATATGAAACATTTGCATACCATGGAAGGAAGTTCAAAGATGCCAATGGCATCATTATTAACACATTTTCAGAGGTTGAGTCTCATGTAGTTCATGCTCTTTTGGCTAGAGATGATGTACCACCAATTTTCAATGTCGGGCCATTGATTGATCACAGGGGAAAGAGTTTGTCAGGATCAGATGCTGTTAAGCGTGACGAGATCATGAAATGGCTTGATGATCAACCTGAAAAATCAGTGGTGTTTTTGTGCTTTGGAAGTGGAGGCGGCTTTGATGAGGCTCAGTTGAAAGAGATTGCAATCGGGCTCGAGAAGAGTGGACACCGATTCTTATGGTCCATTCGATTGAAACCCTCCAAGGGGCAGCTGCATGCTAGTTACTTTGACAACTATGGAGAAATCTTGCCAGAGGGATTCTTGGAAAGGACTAAAAATATTGGCATGCTATGTGGATGGGCACCTCAAGTAGAAATCTTGGCACATAGAGCAGTAGGTGCTTTTGTATCACACTGTGGATGGAACTCAACTTTGGAGACCTTATGGTATGGTGTGCCTATCATAACCTGGCCATTATATGGTGAGCAACATATCAACGCATTTCAGCTGGTGAAGGACTTGGGATTAGCAGTGGAATTGACTTTGGATTTTAGGAGAGATTGTCCCACAGATTTTGTCAAGGCAGAGGACATAACAAAAGCTGTGAAAACCATGATGGAGCAAGGAGGTGAACTTAGAAACAAGGCCAAAGCAACCAGTGAAATGGCCCAGAAAGCTGTGGTAGAGGGTGGATCTTCATATGTTGCTTTAGGAAACTTGATTGATCAATGGTTAGAAAACAAGCCTTGAAGAGCTTAATTTTCATCAATGATCATCACTTCCTATTATGGCTTAATCTCATTTTTCATAATAAGTTATAGTATAGTGTTCCGATTTTGTATGGATTAGTCTCTTAATTAAGCTGAGGCCTTGTAGACAGGCCATCCCTTCTCCGTTCTGTTTCTTTGGAAGCATGGATAATTTGCAGGGGTAACTCTTTGGGATTGGTTTCAAATCAAGAAATATGATCCTGATGTAACCCTGTGTCTTCTTTATGAACAAACAAACAAAAAGTGCTAAAGGGACCCAGCGCTAGTATTGATCACCCCAACCAATAAATACGTTCAGATCAAATGTTTGCTAAATGCCAAAGAACACTGCAAGTGAGGTGACCTACTGTTCTTAAAAAACTTATTACAGTAGACAAGAAAAATAACATTTCAGAAAGTATTTAAAGAGTTGCGTGCACTTTACACAACTCGCCAAGAAAATGTGAGTTGGGCTCTTTAACAACCGCTCAGTTTTCTATCATTAAAAACCAACCTTATAATTCATAATAAATTCTTCTTAATAAATATCATTTAACTACATCTAAAAATCACTTCAACCAAATCGCTTCAACTCGTGATTGGACAGATCTGAAGCGCTCGACAAGAACCCGCAGTGAGAGGAGAGAGAAACCATCACGAGAGGGTGAAGAGAGAGAGGAGGGTGGTATCGCGGTAGTGGAAGAGGCGTTTTGTCGGTTGAGAGAGAGATGTGTGAGGCATGGTGGCGGGAGAAGAAGAGGAGGAGGAGAAATGGAAGGAAAAAGGAGGGCTGGAGTTCTAATTCGATTGGCGTTGTATACAACTTGACAAACACAAACGTACAGCAAGGAATGCATTTCTCGAATTTTCTTGCATGACAAACCATTCAATTTTATTTTTGTCGGTGACATTAATGGCAACTGGAAATGCATCTTGTTCTTGGCCTCTCACGTATCACACTTGCTTCCTCCACCACTTGATCACTGATTGGCTTCAGCTCTCACATCATCACCTGTAATTTAGACCTGGCTTCTTCAGTTGTAACAACTCCATTGTTGTGGCCAATTCATCGATCTACAAATTAATTTGATAACTCAATAACTTGAGTCATATTTTAGATCTAAACTCGAGTCGGGTCTGAAAACTAAATAGAACTCTTGAACAAGAATAAAAATTCAAATATCTTTCTTTTATTTGAAAATGATAAAATCACATATAAAAGTTCTAAAAATATAATTTTCTCAAAGGGCAAGTAAATATATGTTAACTAGAAAATTTGTTTTGCTTGATGGGATCGGAGGGAGGAAGGCAGCCACTACCAAGTTGTCGTTTTCTTACATTTGCCGTGTAAAAATCGGGCTAAACGACACCATTTGGGTGTTTAAGCTCCCCGAAGCATCTCTTTGCTCACTACGCCCTTCCTCATCTCTGGGTGCCCAGGGATCCACCATAAACCTCTCCTCGTTTGAACATGGCGAAGACTCAAAAATATAATTTTCTCATGAAAGGGCAAGTAAATATATGTTAACTAGAAAATTTGTTTTGCTTGATGGGATAGGAGGGAGGGAGGCAGCCACTACCGAGTTGTCGTTTTCTTACATTTGCTGTGTAAAAATTGAGCTAAACGACACCATTTGGGTTTTTAAGCTCCCCGAAGCATCTCGTTGCTCACTACACCCTTCCTCATCTCTGGGTGCCTAGGGATCCACCATAGACCTCTCCTCGTTTGAACATGGCGAAGACTGATTCTCTTGCGTTTACCTTTTCTCTTTTCCTTCTTGTGATGATGAATTACGAAGCATGAGTAACATTAGACCTGCACCAATAAGATAATTTCACTTTTAACAATTTCTTTTTACTACTATTTATTTTCTCATATACAATTATTATTATCTCTTGGATTACTAAATATCTCCTCAACCTTTGTACAACCAAATTAACCAAACCCAAAAAGGAAAAAAAAAGAAGAAAAATTAAGAGAAAGTTTAAGGTTGATTTGGTTAATATCAGGAGATAAAAATGATAGATGTAAAAGAGACAACATATTTGATTATAAAATACATAAAATAAATATATTTTTAATTTTTTGAGTGAATTTATATTTTTTTTTAAATATAAAAACAGGGATGTGTCTCATATATCTTTTATCTTTTCTGACCTGAAATAATAATTAATAAAAATATTAATTTATTCAAACCCAATAGATAATGAATATATAGAACCAATTTGAATAGATGAGGTTTTTGTTTCCTTTTAGTAGTTACTTCTTAATTAATAATAGATAAAATATAAATATTATTAAACTCGGCTTGAAATCTAATTAAAAAATATCTATGATTAATCTAATCTTAAAAGTAGAGATCTTCAAATATAATAAATAGAAATAGATATCTTGAAATAGAATAAAAATTCAAATATTTCTTTTTCATTGAACATAGTAGAATCACAAATAGAAGTTTTTTAAAAGAAAAAAAAAACAGAGAAAGAGAGAAAGTTTAAATGTCGCCTAATTTTTTTTTAATGAAATTAATTGATTCTCCTTCTAATTTAGGATAATGACAAGATTTTTATGTCATTATAAGTTTCCATTAAATTATATTATGTCAGGTATAATTTTCATTACACAAAAAATATAAATACAAATAAATCGTACAAAATTTTCATATCTCCAATCTCAACCAATCATTAACGTTTTTAAAATATACAATTCACTATATATTATTTACCGCATCTATATGTTAATTATAATGTAATTTGTTTTTTTTTTTTTTTTGTAAAATAGGACTCTTTCAACAAGGTATTTCCTTTGAAGTAGGGACGACATCTCTTGACTTCTTGGTTAACCATGAATTTTTGTCGGAAAAACAGTCATCGCTATAATTATTGTAAGAAAAAAATTAATTAAAATCTTACTAGGTACCCAATTTTTTCTTCACCCAAGTCTTCAACGAATGGCAACTCTCAATATGTGGAAATCAATATATTCTCAGACATTATTCAGAGTAAAAGAGCATTGAATTCCCACTAGATCTAGCATATTATAACTCAGTCCCAAATTGTGTGTCCACAAAAGAGCACAAAGGAGTCAAAAACCTTACATATCCTCCAAAAATGGCACCGAAGAAATTAAGCCCTGGTTGTCTTTGTCCTAGCACCAGGGATTGGTCACCTTGTATCAGTCATGGAGTTTGCAAAACGTTTGCTTGATAGAGATGACAGTTTCTCCACCACAATGCTTCTTATGCCCCCACCATTTGCACATAATGCTGCAACATATGCTGAGAAACTTAATACATCTCATCCTGAGTTTCAATTCCGAGGTCTTCCTTCTGTGACCCCGCTACCCCTAGAATATGTTCTAGCTAGTCCTGAACATTTTGTTTCAATTTTCATTGCTGATCATAGAGATCATGTTAAGGATGCAATTTTCAACAATGTTTTGTCCAACAAGTCACCTGGTTTGGTTCTTGATTTGTTCTGTCCTCCCTTCGTTGATGTTGCAAAAGACCTCGGTGTTCCTTCTTATATTTTCTTCGCTTCTGGTGCTGCTTTTCTTGGTTCTATGCTTTACCTTCCTGATAGATTTCACAAGGGAGGGACCACCTTCAAACCAACTGATCCTGACTCTATCATCCCTAGTTACATGAACCCAGTTTCCTCCAAGGTTTTGCCTAATTTGTTGTTCCATGGAGGGTACTCGACTTTTGTGTGCCGTAAAGGGTATTATTGTGAATACATTTGCTGAGCTAGAATCCCATGCTGTTACCTATCTTAATGGTGGGGCCAGTGGTTTATCACAAAGGCAACAGTCCAGTAGCTGATGGGTGTTGGGTGTGGACACAACATGGTTGGTGCTCAGTAGCTGATGGGAACCAACGTGATGAGATCATGAAGTTCCTTGATGCTAAGCCAAAAAAGTCTGGTGTTCTTGTGCTTTGGAAGTCACGGGAGCTTTAGGGAGCCTCAATTGAAAGAGAGTGCACCTGGGCTCTCGCAAAGTAAACGAAGGTTCTTGCGGACTATAGAAAGAATATATATTAGTGATGTTGTGAAGGCAGACAAAATAGCAAAAGCTGTGAAAGATTTGATTGAAGGTTCCAGTGAGGTAAAAAGCAGGGTCAAAGCAATGAGTGAAATTGGAAGGAAAGCTTTGTTGGAAAGTGGATCTTCATTTGTGGCATTTGAAACCTTGGTCAGTGTTTTGTCAGGAAACAAGGCTTGAAGAGGTTCTTTACCGTGTTTATCTTGTTGTGTTTAGGTTCTTGTGGGATGGCGATGTTAGTGCTATGCATCAAGCCTTCACCCTTATAGATGTGATTTTTTTTTTTAGATGAGTTAATGGTTGGTTTTATAATAATTCAAAATGTTTTTAACTTGGAATTATAGTAAAATAATATTTTTTTTATTTTTAAAAAAATTAATTTTAATATTAAATCAAACAGAGGCTTATACTCTTAATACTCTCTCCAATCAAATTATCTCCAGTAAATCAAGAAAATTTAAAACTTATCAATCATTTAAAATATTTTGTTTTATGCCCACTTTGAAAAACTTCATCTGCTATCTATCTTCCTCGCCATGCTTGGGCTTGTAAATATTAAATTATCCATGAAATGTAAATGAGTGGTACTGGATGGTCGATGAGTGTGTGAATGTGTGCGCGCTCGCTAGGGACAAGGAAGTTGCAATAAATTCGTCAAATTGCTATCAATTAATTGTGTTGGTTGGAGATGAATCTTGCTATTTGAATATTCGGGGCATTAACCCTTGCCACATTCTTTAGATATGCAATGCAACACGAGGATCTTACAAGAAAAAATCACAGAAGCACAAATTCTTGAACTTGAAATCTTTAGTAGAAATCCTAAGTCATAATTTTGCTTGAATGTTCCATTATGGTTCATATTTGGGCGTGTTCTTCGTTCGACTAAAATGAATCACAAACATAACAGGAGCCCAAAGGCAATTAGGAGTAAAACCCAATAGACTTCAGTTTAAGAAGAAGAACCAAAAACATCAATTTGGATTGTTGAGCTCAGAGCAATGGAGATATGATCTGACTTTGATAGTGCCCATAACTTGTCATGATCATCAATTTGGTTTTGATTGAATGATATTTATCACAGTACACTGCGGTCCGAAGAACGGGCGGATCTATCTACCAATTGAACAAACATCTTTAGTTATTTAGTTGCTTTATTGTCTTGATATTTTAGTTGTTTTCGTTATTGTAATTTTAAAAAATAAATCAAAAAAATTAAAAAAAAAATATTATAATATTTTTCAATCAAGATTTCAAAATAAAGTTTGAAATAAAATTGTGATATGTGTTAATTACTTAAATACTTTAAAATACATGGATATGTAAAACACAAACCGCACCAAAAAAAAATCTTTTTTATTTAACTAATTGGCTACTTTTGTTTTTTTAAATCTTTAAATTATAGTTATCAAACTTAATTTAAAACTTAGATGTTGAATTGGTAAAGTTGATCCACAAATCAATGGATCTAGCCTAAAATAATGTGATTTTAGCTTTTTTTAAAAAAAACATAATTGATGTTATTATTAAAAAAAAAAACCTAGAATGATAATTTTTGAATAAAAAATATTAAAAACAAATCATGGGATTTAACTTTATCTTATCATCCTTGAATTTAACTAAGTAGTAAAATAACCTTTTAAAACAAGATTCTGATTTTAAAAGCCATCGAACCAATAACTCATCAAATTAAACCTGTTTTAATATAATTATACTTAAAACATTGTAAAAAATCATTTTAATTTTTTTACTAAAAATCATTTTTATTTTATATTAAATCATTTTAATATAATGATGTCAAGATTAAATTTTAAAAAATATAAAAAATATTTTAATACATTTCTATATAAATAGCATTTTAAACTTTCATCACTACTACACTTTCAAAACTTGCCAGGGCATTGCGATTCCTCCACCGTATAAAACCTAACAACTATATATCAATTAACTTCTTCAAATAATATAAGATATGATTTTTAAGTTATTTCTCCACTGGGCTAACGATTATGTAACACAGGAAGATTATTTCCATTAAGCCCAAACCAAAGGTCCAAAACCAAACATAAACGGGACAACATTACATTAAAAAAATGAGGTGTTTTTACTGTGTACTTTAAACTAAATATTTTCTTATAAATCACCATGAATAGAATAGTTAGTTTGTTTTAAGGTTTTAAATTTAGTCTTTAATTATTTTTTTTTGTATAATTGAACATTTTTAAGCCCAAGTTAATAACTAATTAATTCTTTTTTTCTTGTTTAAAGAAAGAAATTGAAAAACAAAAATTTAAAGTGATAAATACAAAGAAAATATATGGCAACTTCGAAGTTCACAGAAACTTAAGCTTGATCCCATCCTTTTGAATTACTATGTAATTGGTCTCTTTTATCATAAATTAGATTTTGATATCAAAATTCATTTTCTATTTTTTTTTTCATGCATGAGAGAGGGTCATTGGATTTTAGTATAAAGAGAGTTTTTTTTATGCTGATTTTGACGGTAAAAATAAGCATTATTTTAGCATAAATTGGTTTTTTTATTTTTATTAATTTTAATTTTCAATATTGTATTAATTAGGGATTGAACTTTACAAAAAAAAAAAAAAAAGAGCAATCAAGGAACAAAGACAAATTAACCAACCTTATGAATGCACGGATTTTTGTTCTTGAGAAATAAAAGCCTCACACCTAGAGCCTAGTACATTTTTCTCCTTTACCACCATAACTTGGTTAGCAATTGCTTAATGATTTTCCTAATCGTAATCCTAATCAACACAACAAAAATAGCCGACCCTCTCTTTTTTTTCCTAAAAGAAATTCCCCAAGAATTAATTCATAGCATTCGCATAATAAGAAATTTAATCACACTAATTCCAATTTTTGTTCGACCATTTGTCTTCTTCTTACAAATGTTAGGATATCCTTTACAGACTATTCATATATAAAATAATGGATTAATTGTGGAATTTTTGTCTCGTTGATGCTCTAACCAAATCCCAAAAATAATGTTGTTATTTGCACTTAAAATTCCTTTGCCGAGAATTTAATAGGTATTAGAGTGTACATGTACACAATGAAAATAACCTTCTTTCAAATAATATATTCCCACCTTATTTTATTTTTTTTAAGTTGAAACTTAAACTATGTTGCCCGTACAATCTTGATATACTCAGATAATTTTGTTCATCTCTGTATTCTGGTTAAGTCGATCAAGATTCTCGACTATTAGCTTGATTGTGAAACAAGATTCTTTTTGTGCACGATCATGGTTATTAATTACTTGGATATATAGGAATAGAATATGATCTCAATTCCCCCCCCACACGTCTCTTTTTAGCTCTAGAATCGTGTGCCCATCCCTTCGTCTTGATGTCCTCTCTCTTTTCTTCCTTTCCTTTCCAAAAGGATATGCCGATCTGGGACACACCGGGCAACCAACAATGTATAAAGCAATTGAAAAAGGTATTCAATGTGATGGAGATATAGCTTTATATTGAGAGTTAAATATAACTATCATTATGTTATGTTATTTATCATCAAAATTAATGAAAATACATAAGATAATTTACACATAATTAAGCTCAGATTTTGTATATTTTAAACTACATATACCCTTCGTTAAGGATAAAAAGAAAGAAAAAAAATAAGATTCTAAATGAAGCTTGATATACTGCGATTTAATATTCAGTTCTTTCTAGTTATAAGTTAAATTACTCCGCATGTGACAAGTTTTGAAAAAAATTCTGTCCTTTTTTCTTCAATTTCTTTCTATTTTAAATATATAAAATCATAACTTTATCAAACACAAATCAAGTAAAATAAAGAAAGATTACAAACACTAACTTTTGTTAAGATCAACAGCTGACAAGTAGTGTAGACACAAAAAAGAGGTCATGCTGTTAAGAAAAATCTTTAGCACACATCAATTCAGTAAAGTAAACAGAAGAAAAATCTTGAATGAGGTTGGCTGTCCGTCTTGGATTCATATCAAATCAGTTAAAGCACATGATGAATGGGCCACAGGAAATAAAACATGTCAAGAACATATGGGGTATTGTAAGGATGGTTCTTGCAACTTGAAAGTGCTCTAGACGCATAGTCTCCTCACAATTTGAGGAAACATAGCTTGAAAATGGGAGGTGGCTTGCCCAACTTCCTCTTGGTATGGATACTAGTCTTAGCACTACTTTGCTATTGTCACAAAATAGGTAAGTTGATCGACAAAGGAACAACTAGGCTCCTTGCTATCCTCCCAGTCATATGCATATTTCTTGTCCTTCCTCTCTATATCTCTGTCTTCAATCTTAGAGCTCTTTCTTCTTTCTTCCTCTCTTGGCTTGCAAACTTCAAGCTTCTTCTCTTTGCCTTAGACCAAGGCCCTTTATCACCCCAACCACCCCTCTCTTTTCCACAATTTATTGCCTTAGCTTGCCTTCCCATCAATATTCAACAAAACCCTCCACCAAATTTATCACCTCATAGTCAAGAGCTTGTAAATGTTAATGATAATCAAGATCTTGAGAAGCTTGTAAATGTCGAAGACAACGATACCCCATCTCAAGAAGTCCCCAGAGAAGGCCTGAGCACACCTCCAAAATATTTCATAAAGTTTCTACTACTGGTCTTATTTGGTTACATGTACACCAAAGAAGAATATATCCATTCAAAAATCATATTGCTAGTCTATCTTATCCACATTTATATTGGTCTCGAATTAATCTTAGCCATGGTTGGAGCCGTAGCTCGAGCCTTCCTTGGTATAGAACTGGAGCCACAATTTGATGAGCCATACCTAGCTAGCTCATTGCAAGACTTTTGGGGCAAAAGATGGAACCTGACGGTGACTAGTGTCCTACACCCTGCGGTATTCAATCCTGTGAGATCCATTTTTAGCCGTTTTATGACAAAAAAATGGACCCCATTACCAGCTGCGATCGCATCATTTTTGGTTTCTGGCATCATGCACGAGCTGATTTTCTATCACATTGGACGCCGAAAGCCAACTTGGGAGGTCACATGCCTCTTTCTCTTGCATGGTGTTTGCTTGACTATTGAAATTGTTATCAAGAGGGAATTAAATTGTTCATGGGGATTGCCTAGGGTGGTGGCAGCACCACTTGTGGTGGGGTTTGTGGTGGCCACTGCCATGTGGTTGTTCATGCCGACAGTGGTACGTTGCA